TTGTACTTCGAGTGCTTACCGCTTATGCTGAGATTGGAAACTTTCGATAACAGATGCTACGAAAACGAGCTGTTGTTGCCGAGTCTCAGAAGTGGTGGCCGTTGTATGGAAGAGTAGTTATTGCAGTATTGCATTGCATACCTTCATTCGTTTGATATGAAGAAGATTTTTCATCAACCGAATACTTTCTTCCCACATGAGAGCGCTTTTTTCAGGTTCAAAGGAACCCCTACCTAGAGCTTTGGAAGCGGTATTTCAGCAGCTCATCCGAGTATATACCAAAAATGTGGTCAGTGTTTTCAGTGGGTTGAGCGATACAGCATGAAAATTTTCGAATCTATTCCATAGCAAATTTCTTAGTATCGAAATTTCACACAGGTATGGAATGAAGATTTGGCGGATGAGGCACTGGACATATTGATGCAAGGATATCAAAAGGAATTTCCCTATGACATGTCAATCACAGCACGAGAGTTTGTATTGGATCACTTATGGGACACTAAATAGTGTTTTTTTTTTGGAAAAGCACTCCTTATGTTCAGGTACTTCTTAAAAAGTGATAAATCGAGTTTGGAAGAGAAGCTGCGTTACACCTTGATGCAGGCCTTCCAAAGCAGATTATCCGAAGTGAGTTGAAGTTTATAGTGGTGCTAAAGGTATCTTTATGATGAAAAAGCAACTCATTGGAAACCAGATAGAGGTTTTTAGTGGTGCAGGGATGAGGGAAAATCGTGAGAAATGGCCCAAAACTCGAAGAAATGAAAATCCTTTCCCGTCCGTTGATTCCGCCTATGCGGTTGTCATCGGTGTTGCCCTCTTCAAGGCTAGTGCTCTCCCTCTGCTGAATGGCTAGAGGTTCAGACGGTGAGAGAGTGGGCGTGCCGCGGGGCTAGTGGCGCGAAGACAGCCATGCTAGATCGCAGGGGGCAAATGCTTCGCTGCAAATTTTGTGTCGGTCGGCACCCTTAGGGGGTTCGCCTATCTCTACTAGGTAGGTTCCCCTTTTTGAGCTCTGACCTTATAGTGGAAATCCTCCTTTAACTAGGTGATCAACGTGATCGAGGAACCGTGCGGGGAAATCGCGCGGGAAGGGGGAGGTGGAGAACTGAGCGATATTCGCAAAAAGAGTCAGATGTAGATACACATTGGTACTACTTTGAAGGCACTGATCACGATGGTTGAAGGGTAGAGCGTTTTTGATGACGTCATTGGTGGACCAGGTCCCTCTGTGCGCTGGAGTGTGGTTGATCCGCCTCTCTACGCCCTTCCCCACTGACGTTCAACGACGTCATCAAAATTGCACCGCCCTCCAACCAACGTGATCCAAGCATTTGAAATACTATAGTTAAAGCAACAGTCCCAGCAGGGTGCGTGGTCGGAAACGACTGCAATCCCCTCGGCCGATTCCGACCACGCCCACTTCAGCTCCTCCCTAGCGGCTTTCCAAGGTGAGTTTTTGTTCAGTCACACTTCTTACGTTCTTGACTAGGGGCTGAACAGCTCCGAAGTGGGAATCGGCCGAGGGGATTGCAGCCGTTTCCGACCACGCCCACCCTGCTGGGACTGTTGCTTTAAGGGTTCAATTCATGCAAAAAAGACGAACAAACAAGCGTTTTTCTATAATGAAGTAGTTTGGAAATTATTTACTTTCTTTCTTACTCTATCATCTTCTGCGAGCATTTGTCAAACTTTTTAGCTTCACTACGGAGTAAGTAGCGGTAGCTGTAGCACAGACATCTCTAATCTATTACACCAGTTTGACGACTACGCGACTTTGGTTTTTTGGTACGTGGAGGGGCATTTGAGGGTGCGGCCAGCTGAGGTCACTCAGATTTGAGTGATAAATACACAAATAATGATCAATACAAAACCAGATCAGTAAATTGTAATGCACAACCTACCCAGGGGTACAGTAGTGGAATTTTGATCGAAAGACATGGAATAACAATGAAAAAGCGAAATTTGTCAGAACTAGCTGCAATGGACCTCAAAAGCAATTTTACGTTGATTATTCAATCAAACAGCACACATTTTTGCTATCCCTCTATTCTCTACTACTATTTAAATCTTCACATTCATAAAAAGAAAAAGTAAACGAAAAATTTATTGAAATGAAGATTTCGTATGGTTCAGAAATCCTCCTCTAAATTAAAGTATACGTGACCATTCTATGGGCCACTATGTTTGTAGCTACGCCAAGGTCTCTTCCATGGAATGAATACAAGAAACTTCTAAAAGAATCAGGCGTGCGCGAAAAAAATGAGTGTAATGGGTGCGGGGGATATATATCCCGCACGGTCCGACATGGCCTGCAATGCGCGGGATATATATCCCCGCTGACTTCTGTCAATAAAATTTTAGATCAAATATTACTGCAGAAGTTTCCAGAGCGGAGCGAACAAATGACGTCTTACCCTGATCCTCTGTTCCCCGATACACCACTTTTGTGCGAGTTCTCAACCTTCAATTAACGCATACACTTTTTGATCCACTCTGTAAAAAATATGGCCCAAAAGTGCTGATCCGTATTTATTAAGCTTCGTCGTCTCCCCAATGGTACACAGTACGGATGCGACGGAATTTTCGTCGAATACACGCGATACAATCTCATGTTCACATTGTGCCTCTTCAAGAGTAAGTGAATTGGCTTCATTTTGCTAAATTTTATTATCCAAAAACGAGTATTCCTATGGCAATAGCTTCACTTGGCAGTAGGATCTTTCTATAATTCTCCAACAGCATGCGGCTGCTACAGCACACAGGGTAGGCCAAAATTATGCTAAGGGCTCACACTCTCTTTATTCCGGATCTCTCCATTTTGAAGGCATGGAAAGCATTCAGAGAGCACGGGATAGGATGGCTCACCCAATTCCTCAACGCCGTCACTGCGGAAGGAAAGATACCGGATGTTGT